GCTATGATTTTATTTCCTTATTTTTTCCTTCATTTTCCTATTTATGTGCTTTTAAATTTTGTTAATCACCCACAGAGCCTTGACTGTTGGAAAGTATAAAAATGAAATACCTACATACATACGTGGTTTCAGTGGGTCTTATCCCCAGTTACTGTACAGAAGAATGTTGCCTAAGAGGCCATAAGTCTTCTAATTGTGGCTTTCAAGAGTCAGGGTTGGTTTTTATGTAGTCAAATTGGCACTGTTCTATACACACAAGAGAGGCATCAACCAGCTCTGGAGAACCCAAGGTTTGAAGAAGGGCAAAAAGGCATTGAAATACCCAAAAGTGTGGAGCAGAGAGACCCCAGAACAACCCAGTGAGAACTGAGCATGTACAATAGTGGCAAAGCATCAAATATGCTGGGAAACAAAACAAGGAGGAAGAAGGAATGGAATCAGATGTCCAGTTGGCAGGAAGCATCTAGTGATGGAGAGGCCATGGCCACAGCAGCCCAGAAGGCTTCTAGATACCACTTATAAGCGCACAGGCAGGAGACCCTAGCTGAGAGATAAGGAGCACAGGAGGAGTCAGAAGGTGGGCAATGGCAGTCCTGAGTCTTTTCCTCCATTGTTCTTTACTCTAGTTTTCTACTCTTTCTTCCTCCAAGAAAAACACCCCCCCCCAAAAAAAAAGGAATGAGGAAGAGATACATAGATGTTTTTAAAAGTTATAAGTAGTATTTAATTGTTTGGATAGGTCATTTCCAGGTTCACTGACGAGATACTTCTAAAGGTCTCCAGGTGAGAGCTACCCATAGAAAAAGTAGGATTTTTTTATAGCTGGGTTGCACTTTCAATTCACAGCTAAGAAAACAAAACAAAACAAAAAAAGATACAGAGTAGAAACTGCATATCCTTTTAAACTCAGTCCTTGCATGAAACATTAAAAAATGATAATGCAGTTCCGTAACATGCAGTTCATGGACTCCATGGCCAGTTGGAAGGGGCTGAGGCTGGAAAGGAGTGTAGTTAACATTGGCACAGCAAGACAAAATCTGAGTAGCCTACAATAACCCTGGAGTGTTGTCTAGAGGTACTAGTCTTACTGCCGGTTGAACAGAAGTTGAAATCTGCAGAGACATGCATTGCCTTTATTCTAATGCTGCAAGTTGTTACAAGACAGTGTCCAATTTTACAAGGTAGTTCACAGTTACAGCCTTGTTGCAAAGAAGGGCTCTCTCTCTCTCTCTCTCTCTCTCTCTCTCTCTCTCTCTCTCTCTCTCACACACACACACACACACACACACACACACACACAGGGAGGGAGGGAGGGAGGGAGGGAGGGAGGGGGAGAGGGAGAGGGAACTGTGTAGAAAGATAGCTGTTTGAATGCTACAGAACTGGAGCTGAGATTTGTTTGAGGCCCTCTATATCCCTGTCTGGTTACAGCACAGATCAATCCCCATAAATAGTTCCCTCAGACCTTCACCTACCTAGACTGTATCTAGCACTCAGTTCTACACAAAAGCTTTCTGCTCCCCAGAGTTGCACCAAGACTGGACTGGCTACTAGAATACAGAAAAACTGAATATGCAAACATATATTTTTGCATATGTAGTCATACCCAAATAGAGTAGGTACTTTGGCCTTTGAAGCTGCTCTTTAGTTTTCAGTCCGTCCAAGCCGGAGGCTCAGGTACACATACACAACAAAAATATAATGCAACGTTTTGTTATAGAGTCTTGCTTGTTCTTTTTTATTTTGCCCTCCAACAGTTTGCACGTATTTAAATTTTAGGTACATGTAGGACATGAACAATGAGAGAGATAAAAGAAAATACACAGCACAAGGCAAGCCACATTATGTAAAAGACTGATGTGAACAGGTTAGGCATTTTCATCTATATTATGAACTCAATTCTAAGATGAATATGCCATAGAACTGCAATATGTATATGGCTGTTGCTGACTAAATTTACAGTATTGTATATTCTTGGTAAAGCTGGAATTCTGTGCCCACACACGTAGAAGTAAATCCCACCAACGTTCAATCACTAGGATCTACTTTTGAGTGGACAAGTACAGGATTGCACTGTAGCGGAACCTGTTTTTAGAAATGATAATGGGTGAGTAATACTTCTTGTCAGATTAATACTTTTAAATTTGGAAAATCAACCGCTGTTTCAGTATAGTTCTTTGTCATTTAACTCAAGCTTGAATTCTCCTGGCTTATCTGCACCTGTGTTCACTGGTGTCTTTGAATGTCTCCTTCAGTTTCAAATGTGATCATCTGTTTGAAGTTCTATAGCAAAGTAAATGGCTCCATATTTTCAAGGGAAACATTCCTATGTGGGAAAGGGTTATTGGAACTTACCCTTTTATTTTATTTTTAAGTTTTTGCAGAGCAAGGCAAGCAACAACTATGAATTGTTGTTATACATATTTATTCAGATGCAAGTCCCAGTGAGTTCAGTGGTGCCTGTCCCCATGTGCATGTGCATAAGATGGAGCCCTGGTACTACCTTTGCCAGTGAAGCTATTCCACTGCAAGGGCCCTGGTACTACCCACTGCAAGGGGTAAGGGTCACAGTTTTAACTGAAAGCACTTACTTTGGCTTGGGGAAAAAGTTAAGCATGCAACAGACTCAGAAGGTCATTAAGTGGAAGTTTTAACACTTCCTCCCAACCCAGTAAAGCATGTGTGTGATGCCAGCAATTCATCAGTTTAGAATCTGCACCATGTATCACAGTGTCATGAGATCCAATGTTGTGGAGTTCTGCACCAATTTTATGCATTCAGTTAGGTCATTTGTGCCTAACAGATGATTCATGCATGGGTGCTGGGTAGAGAAGGCATGTTCCAGAAGGTACTACAAAGCACAATGAGGGACCTTGGACAAAAAAAAGCAGGAAAGGGCTGTTGTCTCTGGAAATTCCCAAGCCTGAGGCTGAAGACATCTGATTGACCATGAAGTCAAGTGGGGAAATAGGATGCTGAACTGTATGAACTCTTTTGTTCCAGTAGGGCTTTTCTGAGGTCCATATATTAGCCTGCAATCTTGAAATGCATACCTAGGAGACTGTCCTGTTGAATGCAGTAAAATTTCCTTCTGAGCAGACAGATTAAACTATTAATCTGCAGTTAATAATGCTGCTTTTTAGAAGAAAATAGAGTCTTGCTAGTCTTCATGATGGCCAGCTTCAATATGCAGGCTTTTTACCAAAGAACATGATGTGCGACAGATTGGTTCCACCTTCAAATTGATAAACTGTCAGGGGCACCCACAGTGCGATCTCATGCATATCTGCTCTGTAGAAGCCCTGTCAAGTTCTTTGTGGCTTATTCCCAGGTTAGAGTATAGCTGCAATTGTTTTAAATAAAATCATCCCCATTCACCATTTTTTCTGAATGGGCCTACAAGAGAGACAATCAATTTTTCAAACAAAGTTAAAAAAAAAGCATAATCTTCCAGTACAAGCAAAAGAAGTTCCTTTCCCTAGTGCCAGCCCCAGACTGTAAATAGCTGGTTATATCTAACTTGATTTCCCTTGCTGCCTCCTGCAGACTGCTGAGCAAGACCCATCATGCAGAGCCATGCTTTCGAAGTAGCAGCCATTAATGAACACATTCTGAGAACCTAATTTCACAAATAAAGCTTCTGGTAAACACTTGCCTGTGATAAAGTGAATGGATCGTTAATTCAACTATTATTTCCTCTGAACTGCTCCTCTGGTAAGCAAGAAATGTGTTCATAATGTACTATGATGTCCTTGGGCAAAATTAAGAGAAACAAATCAACATGCATTAATTTAAAATGCATGTTGCATTGAAGGCACTCAGCATGCATACACACAACACACACAATTTATAAAGATGAAAGCCTTCCACTTTCTTTTGCCAAAGTTTGAAAGTATTGAGATCCAAGTGGAAACATTTCCCTTGTAACCACAAACTTAGTTTGGTTGAGTGTTCTGTGTCTTTTTGTTCCATAAACACACGCACATTTGTCCTCCCATCTCTGTAGAATGATGCTGCATGTCTCTGCTTAGCAATGGAAGACTACCATTCACTGTCCTTTAGCTCTGTCTTTCTCTCTTGTTCTTTCCCAGTCTTCCAAAACCACCAAAAACCCAACAGTTTCCAAAGGAATCTAGTAGGAGACAACATGTTTTCAAACTTCCCAGCCACCAAAACTGGACAGCCATCCCACCTAGCCAGGAAAAGCAACCCCATATGGGAAACATTATTAACTTTCTGGATACTTTCAAAGTGACACCTTTGAGATGCTAACTTAATACCACAAGCAAGAGAGAAGTCTCCCTTGTAACGTTTGATTCCCATGGATTATCAGCACATGTTTCCATTATGAGGTTGTGGATGGGGAAGAGGGCATTTGGGAAAATCTAGTGAGCTCCAGAATTTCTTCTGCATGGGTCCATTTTGTACAAATGGTACCCTTTCAGGAGCAGTGAGTGAGCGTTCCTAAGGTATTTAGTATCCATATGTAGGAAAGGCAGTGAATCCATCTGTTTTTAAACTAAACACAAATGTTTTCCTTGTTTCAATTAGCATGTAGTTTTCTTGGTCAAAACTGAATACCAAAGCCCCAGGTTACAAAAGGATTATACCAATATCTAGCAGGCTTTGTGCTTGCACATTAAATTCTGCAGGCACTTATAGTTTATTTATAGCACTTAAAAGAAGAATCGTGGTACTGTTTTTCAAAGGCCTTTTCATATATGCCTTTCCAAATGCCGCTCTTCAGACTTACGTATTCCTGCCAACTAATGTCTTCGAAAAATTCTCCATGCAAAAAACAAAAAAAACACTGGGAGCGATGCAATCCTTGGAGTGACATTCTGCAACTTCAGAGCAAATAATTACACTCTTCTAACTAAGAAGGACAGAGGAGAATTGCACCGAAGAGTGCAGGGAAGAAAGAAGCAGTGATCCTAATAATAATAGCAGCAAGGAGCTCCATATGCTTAAAGGATTTGCCTAAGTGAAAGTATCCTTACCTGTACAGCAGCTACACCCACTGACAGGATCGGTAATGCAAAGAGTAGCTGATCTGCTTCTTTTTATCTCCAGACATCCACTTTCTCTTCCTTGCCTTAAATTCACGCTTTGACAAAGCTCAAGCGTGTAGCTGCAGTTCTGGAAGTTAAAATCCCGGATCAAAAGCAGTGCGGACCATCGGACCGATATTGCGAGAGAAATCGTAGAAGGGGTGGGGGCCCAAGAGCGACAAAGGACGCCCACTACACCATCACAGTAACCACTTTCCCCTTCTCCTCAATTAAAATTCACAGCAGACTCCGCAGCTAGGCTGACTTTCTGCATGTAAGTTAACCATTTGCGAGCTTCGGGATGCGGTAAATAGACCAGACGCTCAGCAGGACTCCAACTGATCTCCCCTGGTTTTGCATGAAACGTCTTTCTTTCCCCTTGTTTAAGGATCCAGGCTGCTCCGATGGTCGCCCGTTCTCCCTGCCCCCTCGCTTCCTTTTGGTCTTTCTTGTTCGCTCAGTTTGTTATTAGTCACATTGCCAGCGGCTGGGAGGTAGGCGTAAATAAAAAGACTTCTTGGCTTTTGACTGAGCCTTTAAGCCCTTCCCATCTCTGAGCTTTAATCTGCCAGTGACATTTCATGCAAGATAGAGCTCCACCTTAGGAAAGCTCAGCTCCTCCTCTTACAAATTATCTCACCTCCTCTTCCCACTTAACTCCCCTTTCCATGGGTACGTATTTTTGCAAAAACACCTGAAGCACCTGAAAGTAAAATTCAAAACTCGATCTATCATCACAAGCAAAATATATTCATTGCAGGGAGGAAGCTCATGCTAGCTAGCATTTGTGGAGGCTTGTCAATTGCAGCTCTTTCTTGTTTCCTCTTTCTTGCTCCTAAGTCAATGGCAAAGATCCAAAATCAACCTTCAGAGATTCTTATCCAATCACGTGCTTGGACATTTGTGCTTTGGTTGTTGTCACCCTCTGGCATTAATTACCTGTCAATAAAGTGTGGAAGGGCTTTGTGTACATGTGTTTGAGTAAGTGGCTTCACATTTTGGACTGAAATATTGCTGGATTTTATTTAGGTATGTTGAATGCGCTTAAGTAGGTTCCAAAAATCCCGCTTGTTCCTTATACTAGAGAGAGTATCAGCTTGATTTCTAATTGATTGTTTCCCAAACTTTAACATAAACTGATTGCTTTCATGAACATACAGCAGAAGTGAGATACTGCCATGACATAGATTAAATCTATAAAAGGACTAACTCTTCAATTTTCCTGCAGTTTGCCTTTAATGCATCTGTTGTTGGTGTGAAGCTACACCTATAAAGGCTGCCAAAGAAGTTTATTGTGTGGTAAAAATGTCGAAAGTTGCCCCACGTTTCTGGAACATAGATAGGACACTGTATATGTTTAGTGATTTAATATCACTAAATAAAGAATAGCATGTGCAAGATCAAAATGCATTACACATCAAGTCAATAAAATATCTGTGGGAAAAGAGAAGTTACCATTATTTCCCATAGGTTGCTGCTTATTCCAAAACATGCAGGCAATAACTTGCCAGTGTCGAGAAACAATAGCAGTCATTTAGGATGTATGTCCTATTCAAGTTTGGAAAAAGAAGGCGGCTGGCACCGGGGTGGGGCTCCAGCTGCTAGAATCAGGCATGGTGGGAGTTGTTAGGTGTCTTCTCTGTCTTAACACCCATAGGATGTTTCGTTAAAATCCTCACGGATTTTCCATTGCTCCAGTAAAAGGAACTTCAGATCTAAGAACGGATTCTTTCATTATGCCAGCAACATGAGAGTTCCTGCTGGCCTACGATTTCTTACACACCCAGCCCATCCCGGGGCTGGGGGAGGGAGAAGTCCCAATTGCACTTTGGCTCCTCCCTCATCAGTAAAATCAGCTCTCTGGTAACTATGGTACCCTGGTGTGGGAGGAGCCAGGAATCCCACAGTGATCTAGTGACATAGTCCTCTGCAGCTGTGATGTCAGTGGTGGCAACATCAGAGCATGGCTACAGACAGTGAGGTCTCACTCATGCAGAAATGGTTCTGCTACTTCAGGATTTGCTGACGCAGATTGCTTTGCAGAGTAATCCTATTGCCTGCATCACTTCAGAACTAAGTTCTGCTCTGTCCATTGGGTCTTGCACCCTAGCAAATGTGCTTTATAATACCGCCTTGGTCTTAGACAGCAGTTTAGGATATGAATTAAGATGAGCTGAAAGAAATAGCTTTAATCTGAAGGCTCAGCCAGGGAAACTGTCTAGACAGGGTTTAGACTGATACATTTGTTCATGTTATTTTTATATCGTAATTGCTTTTACAGTTAACTGCTCAAACTGTTTGAAAAGCTGAGCAGTTATGTATTTATTTGTTGTGTTTATAGCCTGCCTAATAGCAAGGGTTATCTGGGTGAATTAAGTGATATTAAAAGAACCAAAGCACAATATTCAGTGAATCACAATAAGCAGCATAGAAGGTAAAATAGAATATAGAATATAAAAGGTTGGGTCCTGGGTATCAAAAGGAACACTTGTGTCCATATATGCCCTCCTGCCCCTTGAGATGAGCAACATATGCCCTTCTCTGGGAACCCTCTGTGAATGATATTAGGAGGGTGAGTACCCGGAGGAGGGCTTTCTCTGTGGTGGTGCCCCATCCATGGAATGCGCTCCCCAGAGAGGTCTGCCTGGGCCATCATTATTTGTTTTTCGGCGCCAGGCTAAGACCTTTTTATTTAAAACTTATTTTAATTGTTAATTTATTGGTTATTTATAGGATTTTAAATCTTTTAAGCTGAGATGCACCGGGTTTTAATATTTTTATTGTACAATTTGTTATATTTTGTTCTTATTGTGAGCTGCCCCAAGGCTTTGTTGTGATGGGGGCAGCATAAAAATGTTTTAAATAAATAAATAAAAGAGGAGCCAGGTCAACAGTCTATGAATGCTTAAAATGTCTATACATGATGTCATCTTTTAAAAGAAATATCACCCCAATAATTGTCTAATTTCTGCTGTTTGGTACTTTGAGGAAAATTTGTTGATCTGATGCTGATCAATGCACACCAAAATGCTGAAGGATAAAGGGTAGTTTCAGTAGAAGTAGCCAAGAAAAATAAATGTTCACTTGATGGCATTGATGAGTCCAGTTCACTATGCATGGGAAAGAATGCTGGATGAAGCATTTCATCCTGTGTTGCAAACTGTCAAGGAAAAAAGGCGCATTTATTATCCTGTGAGTGAAGAACCCCTGAGCAAGGAGGCTACAGTATTCAGCCCTTCTCTGCCTTCTGCAACAAACAGCTTTGGTTTCCAGGTAGGCAAACACAGTAATATCAATAAGAGAAACAGCTATATTGGCAGAAAACAACAGAGGGGAATATACAGTTTATTTCCCTGGGTGCCATACCTATGATTATCTGCCTGATGGACAGAAGATCTAGGTATGTGCCCAGTGTAATGAGTTACTGGGCCCCTGTGAACATATTCATTCTCTGGAAGGTAAGGATGCTGACCTGTAGATGCTGAGAAGCAGAGGATTATGGATGAAACCTTCAGGGAATTAATTGGGTGTAAATAGATGAGCAGAAAGCTCTGAATAATACCTTAATACCAGTGAAGTTGGATGGTTAGAGATCTGGATTCTACGGGGATGTGAAAGATCTGGGTTCCAGTCTACTCAGCCGTGAAGCTCAATGGGTGACTCAAGTGGATTGTCAGCCTAATCTACCTCAAAGGGTTGTTGCTGTGAGAATAAAATGGGGTGAAGAAAAAGTCACTTGACATTCCTTGAGGGATATACATTGAATGTGCTAATAATAATGGTTGAAAGCAAGTATAAGAGCAGAAGCAAAACTATGAAGCGAAGTCCGAGCAGAAACCAGAAACACAAAAGAGTGATTCCTCCCATATGGAAGTACAACTACCTTATTTTTTAAAAGGAAAAAAATCCATATGGCAGCTAATAATCCAGCTAAAATAACACTTAATTATTTAGAGCAAAAACCTGCCCATTTGACACTTGATAGATGGAGTGCAGAAACAGAGGCAGGAGAGATGATGATTTTTTTTAGCCATGTCCTCTATTTTATTTCTTCTAGAAGCCTGCATGCACATATCGCAGGTAGATGGTTGAAGGGCTGCAGGTTGAGTAGCTTCTGGATCTGGAATGTCTCCTCCCAGTTCACAGTCCCATTTTCAAATCCCAATTTCTTCTCTTCCTGAGACTGTGACAAAGACACCAGGAAAGGAAACCATGTGGTTTTCTGAAGCAATTTAAATGGGGGAAGAATAATCTCAGATTCTTCTGGCTGGATATATACGGCCATGTGGGAGAGGAAAATCCCCAGTTACCCAAAATTATTCTCGTAGCTTTTTTTTAACTTTCCAAAATTAGCAGAGTGGAGCAAATTGATGAGCATGTTAAAGAAGAAGAATTATCAAAAGTAATTTAAAAATAAAACTCTCTGTTTAAATATGCCTTTGTCCCTGATGGGTTTTCTGCAAAGTATTAAAAACATTTATTGCTATATTAGCTAAACAAGTCATTCAAAAATAAATGGAATTATTGCTACCATTTTTCTTCCTGATTGATTTCTGTAGGATCTAATCCTCCATGGAATATGTCCATCAAATTAAAACAGCTCTTCAGAAGGGGAAGAAAAATGAGATGAATTGAAGTCATCACCATAACAATCGCCTGAGTTGAGATCAGTATGAGTTGCCTTATATCCAAAGCTGTCAATAAAAGGACACACAATAAAACCAATAACATTATTATCATCTTCACTTAAAACCTAAGCAAAGCTAAGCTAAGATTTAAAATAGCGGCAACAACAAGAATTAAAATAAAGAAGAAAGGAAAATAAATATTATAGCAGATAATATTTGATATAATAATTTGCTATATTATTTGCTTAAAAGAGCCATTTTCAGGCATGTTAGTAAAAGTAAACTAAGCTGAAAATCAAAAGGACTAAAGCAATAAAAATGTCTTTGACGGGTGTGGTATAGTAATTGGGCAGCACGTTGGGCAGGGACCTGGGAAGTCTGTGTTCTTT